TAAAGAATGTTATTGTAGCTTGACGTGAATATAAAAATTATTAGAATATTTGTGATTTAGGTAAAAGAGCATTTTACTTTTATTCATCATAAAAAATTACAAAGAAAGATTATGAAATGATTTTTAAATGTTAAAAACATTTTATATTTTTTTTTTGCATAATTAGAGAGTAGCCACAAGTTTTTAATTATATTCCTTCGTTTTATAAACTATAATTTATAATTAAATTTACTCATACTTTTAAGTATAATTATAGAAAATTACTTATTTTTGAACAAAATTTAAATTTAATGTTTTAAGTGATGACTCTAATTTTGATTAGAAAAAATATTTAAAATATTTAAAATGTTACATAAATTTTATCATTGAATAATTTCTTAATAGTATCAAATGTATAATAATAATTTTTTTTATTAAACTCTCAAACACCAACGTTTTAAAATAATTTTTATAATCACATTAATCTATAATTACGTTATCTTAAATTAGCCTTTGTAAGATATCACGAAGCATCATAAAAATTTTCAATTTATTTTAATTGTAAGTTTTATTTTGACTTTTATACATAATTTTTTTATTTTTTACATGACACATTTTTTGTTGTTATCCTAATACGTAAATCTTCTTTTATTTTTATCTTTATAGTTTAATTTTTTATAAAAAATAAAATTAAAAAAATATTATGTATAGAATCAAAATAGAAAAAAGTTTAAATATGAAATAACCATGTTATATAAATATTAATAATAAAAATTATTTTTTAAGACTTTTTTTTATATAAAATAGCGATGTGATAAGAATATTAACAATAAAGACTATTTCAAAAATAAATTTTTATTTAGAAACTTGTTTACAAACTCTTTATACAAAAATAAAATAAAATAATGATAAGTTTCTTCTAAAATTAAAATAATATTTAAATTAAATTTAAATTAAAAATATGTGTTTTTAAACTAAAGAGTTATAGAAATAAGAAAATTATAATTCATTTATATCTATTGGTTATCCAAACAATAAAATGAATTTTTTTATTTCATTTTATCATAATACACCTAAATAATAAAATATGATTTTCATTTCACTATATTCTATTCTATTATATTCATTTTAATCTGTCCCATCCTATTTTTTTACATCACTCCAAACCATTACCGAAAAATGTTTAAAAAAATGTTTATTAACAATTACCAAAGTCCAAAGGTAATTAAATCCCATAATTAATCTTGATTCACCTCATGATTTACGTTAGTGTAAACTGATAGACATTTTATAATTACTTGCAATATGTATTTAATAATAATATATTAAAAGTCTTATATACATATAATTTACTTCCACAAATAAAATTTTATTTTAATTTATTATTAAACACGTAAATTAATTGACATGAGAATTTATATAATTTTTTTATAAAAAAATTACTTTGAATTTGAGATGCTTATTACTATATATTTTTCATTATTAATCAATAAAAAATCCCACATATAACTTTTAAAAGATTATTAAAAATGTATATATTAATTACATAACAATTTATAATTAGATTATCCTGTAAGCAACTTTTATATCAATGTATTTTAATTTTAGTGTACTATTTATACTTTCAACCAATTAAAATTTATTTCATATATAATTTAGATATTAATTATTATAAAATTTAACGATTCTTTCTTATATTAAAATTCATGATGACATTGTAAAATGTACATAAAGTATCTTTAAATCAAATTCTTTAATTAAAGTCATATTTAAATTTATAAATAGAATTTAATTAAAATATATTACACTTAATAGTTTAAAAGTTTTTATTCTGTTGTTTAATTAAAAATTATCATATAATTAAAAACAATAACTTAATATATGAAAATTATTAAAGAATGACTTAAGAGATAAGGCCTACATTTTATTCTCTATTTCTAATTTATAATAATAATTTTAAAAAATTATTAATATATCATAATTAAAATCAAATATTTTTATATCAAATTATTCTAAACAAGTATATATATATATATATATATATATATATATATATATATATATATATATACCTAAAAATTAAAACATTTGCTACATCTCAAATTAAATGAGTAAAACTTTATATTAGTTCTTAGGTCGTGAGTATTTGATAAATTAGTCACAAAAATTTTAAAATGATTTAATCAAACTTCAAATTTCTGAGATGTAATGTATTTTAATTCAACTAACACTTTATATCATAACAATATTAATTTTTGTTGAAGTGTCACGTTAAGTGACATCTAGAATAACTAATGTGGTCAAAATATCATATTTTACATATTACTCACAATCTTGAGGATTTAATTTGTGAGAGAGCTTTACTCAATTTTTCTCTCTATTTCACCATTCAAGGGGTTGCTAATAGTGGCAATATAGGAGGAGAATTGTGAATTGTCGTGTTTTCAAATGATTAGGTTGTAATCTTCTAAGACTTATGCCTGTTGGCAGCAAGAGAGAAATGTAGTGAGAGTGATTTGGGAAAATAGAAGAGGAAGATGAGTATAAAATAGAAGTTGTTTCATAGTTGCTATGACCCACAAAATTCTCTTTGGTAATGCTATAGAACACACTAGAAATCTAATCCACTTCTAGTAAAGTCTTCTCAACAGTTCAAAGACCTTTTTGGCAAGTATAACTTTTCCTCTTTGTCATGAAGCCTTGAGGCCTGTGACAAGAATTCATAATGATGCCCGTGGATGAGTTAGAGAGTTTGTCAATGCCACCATATGTGTTGTTAAGAATGGTATTGTAGAAGGAGTAGACACTATTGTAGGGTCTATTTCTGAAAAAAAAAATAGACTCACTTAAGAAAAATATAAAAAACAATAAAAAAAATATATAATTCACTTAATTAAAATTTTATTCAAGCGAATTTTGTATATTTCTCATTAGAGGGAAGGAGAAGGACTAGGTGTGGGGGGAAGAAGGGGTTGGAGTTAGGAGAACGGGTGGTATAAAGGTAGGGGTAGGGGAGAGGGGGTAAAGGAGTTGAATATGGGAAGAAGAATGAGGTAAGTATGGAGGTGGGAAGATGAAGAGGTGAATTGGGTATGGGGTGAGAGAAGAGAAAGTTGAGAAAAGAAAAGAGGAGTTAGATATAGGGAAAGGACGAGAAGTGTTGGATATGGAGGATAGAAAGTGAGTGTTAGGCATGAGAAAAGAGAGAGCATGGATAAGGAGATGTAAAATTTAATTAAATAAAGATTTGCTCAAACAAATTTAAAATTTTTTAAAGCAAATGTTGCATAATTTTATTTTTTTATTTTTTTTATTTTTACTCAAGTAAAAATAAAATTAAATGTCCAAATTTTACTACAATTAGAGAAGATCCATATCCTTGAGAAAACTAGATTTGAATTTGATGATTTAAGAAAAGATAACAAGGTCAAGAATCAATATGTAAAACAATTTCGTTTCATCAAATTAGCCATATCATATAACACTGTTGTAAGAAAAAGTGTTAATTAGACTACTTTTTATAAAATTAAAAATTAACAAACTTATTTAAATTTTTTAAAGATATTTAAAGTCTTATTCCACATTAAATCACATTAATCATAATTATACAAAAAAAATCTAAATACTCTAAAAAAATTTTTAATATATTTTATCCAAACATAATAATAATGATAATAATAATAATAATAATAATATTATTATTATTATTATTATTATTATTATGTTAAATTAAAATAATATTTTTATTTACTTAATTATTTTAAAAGTTTTGTTAATCTTAACTTTTAAAATTGAAGATAAACAATTAATAATAATAAAATTTATTAAAAAAATATTTATTATATTTTTATAATTTTAATACAATAATTATGTATTTTTTTATAAAATTTTTTATTTGTTATGTTTAAAATCAGTTTTAAAAATTATTGAGGTTAACAAAAAAAATTATTTTAATTAATGTACAAATTTTTAAATTAACGTTAAATATAATAAAATTTTATTTTTGATTTTTTAACAAATATTCCAAACACATTAATTAAAATTTGTCATAAATGAATTGATGTTTTTGGGAAACCGTGACAACATGACGCCATTGAAGAAACCGAAACACCCACAACGCTCAGCGCACCTCGTTTCTTTCTTTTTTGTCTAAACTTTTCCCCCTTTCCAGTTCCAATAGCAAAGAGAAGAACATCAAAACCCAATCTTCCTTCACTTCAACTCAAAACAACGCAGCACCCTCTCTTTATTTACATTACCTTTCTCTTCCATTTCTTTTTTTTCATCCAATTCAAACTTTCATTATTTTCATCCTATTATATAGTTATTATTTATTTTCTTCCCTTCACTAACTTCTCATAGTCCAAAAGCTTTATCAAATTATAGCTTTCTCTAGATCCACAATTAGGTGTCACCTCATACCCTCACAAAATATTTGTGGAGGTAATTACTAGTTTTTAACCTTCCTGATCACTTGGGTATATATTCATTCAACCGATCTTTAATAAGTTTAAATTTTTTTCAGATTCCCATCTGATTTTTCCCGGTTTCTAGAAAAAAGAAAAGAAACTTGATTCTTGTTCCTTTTTGCTTTTCAGCACACTGTAAACAACAGAACTGATAAATAAGGTTAGGTCCAAAATTCGTAGATTTATATGTTAGTGGGTTAGAACGTTTTTGGCGCATTTATACTGTTTAATAGAGGTTGATAAAAGAAACAAATTTTTGAAAAAAGTGTACTGTTTTTTCCCCTGTGAACATGTTAAACTAAATCAGATTAAGATCTCAAAATAAAATCCTTATCTTTTTTTTAAAATTTTCGCCAACTCATTCTAATACATCCCTGGTTAAAAAGTGTTCTGAATTTTCGTTCATTCCTCGAGCCCCAGTTTTCACATGCTCTTGCCAACTTTTCACACCTCTTTCTATATGCTTAAATGGATTTAATGAACAAATAAAAACTACCCTTTTGTTGATTACTCCTTTCTCTCTATTTTTTGGTGATTACTTCTCTTTGGAGGATGGGAAAAGGGTGGTTTTTGAGATGGGTATTGGTGGTTGGGGTAATGGGTTGGTGTGTGGAGGGGCTTGGGGTGAATTGGGGAACCCAAGCTACACACGAGTTGAGGGCAGACACAGTGGTTCAGATGTTGAAGGATAATGGGATTGAAAAGGTTAAGCTGTTTGATTCAGATGAGTCTTGCATGAGTGCTCTTGCTGGCTCTGGGATTGAAGTCATGATTGCCATTCCTAATAACCAGCTTGCTCAAATGAATGAATATGATCGTGCCATGCAGTGGGTGAGGAAGAATGTTACTAGTTACAATTTCCAGGGTGGAGTTAACATCAAGTGAGTTATTTTCACTGTTTTATTTTATTTTTCTTTTTAATTGTGATGGATTGACATCGCATCGTTAATTGTTGTGATTCTAATGTTATTGTATACATCGTTCTTGGTTAATATTGTTTTCAGTTCCATTATTTTGAATTAAATATTGACACCGACACCGTCTTTAATTTAATACTATTATATACAATTGTATCTATTCTTTATTTTTTTCTTCAGTCTCAAAACACGTCTAACATTAAAGGCGACACAGTAGTAATAAAGATATTATTTTGGTATTGTTTATCTTATAGTTTTCCTTACAAAATTCAAGTTACAAAATGAAAGAAAAATATTTGATGTATGGTTAAAATGAGACAATTTTTAATGTTTTGTTTTTCTATATTTTGTTCAAGTCCTGCATCATTAAAGAACTTATAAAGATTAAAATAATTTTTACTTTATAAATTACCTTTTAAATTTAAATTATACATAAGTTCAAATTGAAGTTGAGATGTATCTTTGAGATCCATGCATATAAAAAAAATATATAAATTATGATAATAGTCAATTTTCAATAGTTCAGTTAATAAAAGTGATGATCTAAATATAATTGACATAAGAAGAAAGTCTGGGCCCTGCACATATGTTTGAGTGTGAATGGTACACGAAGGAGACTTGGAAAAGTGAACTCAAAAGTGTGCTTGCACCTTTTTCTCAATATAGATTCTCTCCCTGTAACTTATTTAGATTTCGTTATTTTTAATAACCTTTTTAAACACTTACACAATATTTTTATAGTTTATTATATTTTTTTTTCTGTTTCCATATTACATCAAAAGTTAAAACGATAAAGTTAATTTTTAAATTGTAACTAAGTGTGAGTATTTTCTTGTTTAACTAAAATATTGTTGAGAATTAGAATTATGCATTTAATATAAATAAAAATTTGACATTATTCGTCTCAATCACCAATTTTTCTAAAAAGTGCCAATCGAGTCATGGTTCTTAATACATTTGTCTTGGAGTAAATTTTAATGTGGCAGGGGAGAATGGATTTCCTTTTAAGGTGTACGTAAAATCTTCTCCAGAAGGGCAGATATAGGATTTGGAGAGAACAGTGTTTGGTCTTGGGATTATTTGCCATTTTATTGGTGCTTGTAGAAAATTTATTAATTCTGTATTTTTTGAAGTCTTACATGTTTATGCAGTCCATCTTTTATTCATTTACAGGTATGTTGCAGTTGGGAACGAGCCATTTTTAAAATCCTACAATAATTCATTCATAAATGTGACTTTCCCTGCATTACAGAACATTCAAAATGCCCTTAATGAGGCTGGTGTAGGAGACTCCATAAAGGCTACTGTGCCCTTAAATGCTGATGTGTATGAGTCTCCAGAGAACAATCCTGTTCCATCTGCAGGAATATTTAGGCCTGATATAAGTGATCTAATGACCCAGATAGTGCAGTTCTTGAATAAGAATAGTGCACCATTCACAGTGAACATTTACCCCTTCCTAAGTCTCTATGAGAATGACAATTTCCCCTTTGACTTTGCCTTCTTTGATGGGGTGGCCAATCCCATAAATGATAATGGGGTTTCATACACCAATGTTTTTGATGCAAATTTTGACACCTTGGTTTCTGCTCTTAAATCAGTGGGATATGGGAACATGCCCATTTTGGTAGGAGAAGTAGGGTGGCCCACAGATGGGGACAAGTATGCCAATTTGGGCAATGCTTTTAGGTTCTATAAAGGGCTTCTACCAAGGCTTGCAGCAAATAAAGGCACCCCACTAAGGCCTGGATTTATTGAAGTTTATCTATTTGGACTTATTGATGAGGATGCAAAGAGCATTGCCCCAGGTAATTTTGAGCGTCATTGGGGAATTTTTAGGTATGATGGAAAGCCCAAGTTTCCAATGGACCTTTCTGGTAAAGGTAAGAACAAGTTACTAGGTGGAGCACAAAATGTGCATTACCTTGATTCAAAGTGGTGCATGTTTAATCCAGATGCCAATGATCTAAGCAAACTTGCAGATAATATAAACTATGCTTGCACCTATGCTGATTGCACTGCACTTGGATATGGGTCTTCCTGCAACAACCTCGATGCTAATGGGAATGCCTCATATGCATTTAATATGTATTACCAAGTGCAGAACCAGAATGACATGGCATGCAATTTTGAAGGTTTAGCAAAACTTACAACAAGCAATATTTCAACGCCAACTTGCAATTTTATTATTCAGATAAATCCTTCCTCATCCTCCTCTTTGAGACCCTCGCTAGTAGCTTTCTTATTTGTCACTTTACTTACGATTCTATTTTGTTAAGGTCTTGTACGTACTATATAGGTACTATTAGCTTTGCTAAAGATACTTGTTAAGAAATAAAAAAACAAATATTAGAATTCACATTAAAATTATATTAGAAATTATGGTGCATATTTATAATATTTTTTTATTTTTAATTCTTTAACAGAGTGGTTTTCATTATTCTTATTTATTTATATATTTTCATCAGTTGTGGTACTTGGAGATAGCGTGGGTGATGATAATATTTGTTGACAGAGTCGTTTAATGAAGAATTTTATTTTGTAAAGCACTGTGGTTCAGATGGTAAACGCATGGCTTGTAAGGGCCAGAATAACCCCTTTAATGCATTGGACTTCTGATGCCGCGATCTAATTTTGGAGTCCTCACATGTATTGGGATTACCAAAGTATTATACTAAAAGATGGTTCATGTGGAAGTGAATCAATTTTTTGACTAGAAGAAAATACTTAATTGACCCATTTTGATATTTATGTCAATTGACGGAAAGGGAAGAATGAGAATAATTTTAAATTTAAATTTTGTTAACTTTAGTTAAAAAAAATAAGTAATTAATAATAATAAAATTTTATTAGAAAAAGAAGTATTTATTATATTTTTATAATTTCAATATAATGATTATATACTTTTTATAAAAAAATTTATTTATGGATACTTAAACTCAACTTTAAAGATTGAGGTTAACAAAATTCTTAAAATTTTTATGATATTTTTGTATTAATTCTTTTAATTAAATAGATAAAAAAATTTAAATATTTTTTATGTTTTCAATATATTAAATCTATTTACTTTTTTATTCAATATTTTTTATGAAATAGTGCAAAGATAGAGAAGATTTTTTATAAGAATATAACATAAAACCAATGATAATAGGTTTATTATTTGGATTGTTTAAAATAATAAACAAATGGAACCAAAATAGATTAAACACATTCATATTTTTATTTAATACCTCCTTAATCAATTATTAGTAGATTAATAAAAATAATAAATTAATTTGAACTGTGTTTAAAATCATGGTCTCTAAAGTAGAGCAACGGTATCTACAAAATAAATTTCTTAAATGACTCGTTTATAAAATCAAACTTGTTTATGGATCTATACTTAAATTGAAGAAATTCATTGAATTAACACTTTTATCTACTGAAATTTTATAGGTTTAATTTTAAATTTGTTTGTATGCATATTTTTAACTTCACCTGGGTAAGAAGAACATCTGTTACACATAAGAGAAATTAGGTCATTAAAATAAAAAGGACATTAAAAGTTAATTGTAATAATAAAATATTTATTAGACAAAAAAAAAGGAGTAATATTGAAAGTAAAAATATCACGATAGATGTGTAGCTATGTAAAAAGAAATTTCATAAATAAAAATATTGAAGTAATATTTATTAAATAGAAAATTAAATAAAATTAATTAAATTGATTTGAATATGTGCTAATAAGATTAGCAAAAATACTAATGAAGAAAATACATCACATGATAAATATTATTTTCGAGAGTTTAAATTTTAATTAGCATTTAAAATGCTATAGTAATGTTTGATTTTATGAAGTTGATATGCTTTGAATTATGAAGTTGCTTTTGTTTCAAATCAGCAAGCACTTTTCTATGTTCACCACCTTATACAAAGATTTGTTAATATATATATATATATATATATATATATATATATATATATATATATATATATAAAGGTTCATCTATATGTTAAAAGGATTAAGATAATATAGCATGCAAGCACATATAAATTGTTGCATGTTATTAAGTTTTGCTAGTTACTAAAGATTATTTAGTATCAATGTAAAATAAGACTTTTTATAAAAAGAGTATGAAGTATGAATGATGATTATACAAAGGCATAAGCGACTATCAAGACTATTAGGTCCTGATTTATAGTTTAATAGCAAAGTTAATGGAACATGGAAGATAAGGCTTAGAGTTTCAAATTTTGTCACATGCAGAAGCTGCAATTCTATCCTTTTCTCCAATCTCTACCCCTCTAAAGAGTATTGGTGATAGTTTATTGCACAGTTTCATGGGCCAGCAAATGGAAAATATTTATTGATAAAAAAATAAACAAAATATTTCTCAAAAGTCTTTAATATCTTTAAGTGATATTACAATAATAATAATTAAGTCTTATTTTTATTAAATGAACAATAACCATCTTTTTTTAATAATTTCTTTTAAAAAATATTTTAGGTCTTTCTCTTCCTCTTTTTATTGGGATTAAATATCTTGTTATCCGTTCTCTTTAGTGTTACCTTTAGTGAATTATTTGCTCATATCCAAATCACTTTAATCAATTATTTATAATCATTTTTATTATAGGTGCTACTCCAAAAATTTTAGATATTTCAAAAGACTTATTTTTATGAAAAATATTTGAAATTGTTTCTTCTTTAATAAAATCTTATTACAAATACATTAAAAAAAGATTCTTCTCTATATAAGATAGGGATTTATAATCCATATCCTTAATAAATATGTAAAATCTTCTCTTTTATTTGGACAGATAAAGGGAGTTGTAAATATAAAAAGGAAAGTGCTCGTGCATTTATGTTTTAAAATACAATCTAGTTACATCCTCTATTGCCCTCTTCCCTTTTGAAATACATGGTTGTTCTAATATAGTGTGGTAAAGCCCTTACTCTATTCCTTCCTTAGGTCAAGGACAATGACATTGTTCCTTTTTTTTCTTGGTTGACCACTCATCCATTTAAACATTCTCATTTATGTTACTCTCACTTTTTTCTTCACGTCATTATTTTAAAGTCCAACATTCACTACCATATATCATATATGATTGTAGAGCAATATGATAAAATTTTTATTTCTTCTTGATACGTATTTTCTTATCACAAATAACTTTTGATGTCTTTATCCAGTTTAACTACCCAACTTGTATTTTATAACTAGTACATAAACTTGGACACTTGTGATATGATGTCATCTTAATTTTAATTTCTAAAGCATGAACTTCATTTTCCTCTTTTTCACTTAATAAAAAAATCCTTAGATTCTAAAGTATGTCTCCATAACTTAAGTTTAGACTTAACTTATTCCTTTGATATCTTAATCAAGACAATGTCATTCGTAAAGAGTATGGACTTAGGGATAATTTTTTTGTATGTTAGGTACATCTAAGTGATCAATTAGATTTTTATAACATTATTTCTTCTCATTCCTAGCTCATTAATCCTCTTTTGTGCCTAATTGGTTGAATTGGATCATTTTATGATGTTTGAATTTTATTTAGGCTTTTTTTAATTTTTTTCAGTATTTGACAAATTCTGATATTGTTTTGGTTTCTAGACCATATCCTGAGTTGTAGAACTCCTTTCATTGTGATTCTTTATTTAAATTTATCTTTTGTTGTTTTTGAATAATCATGGATGTTTTTGTAAATTGAATCATATAAAGAAAATTTTAATTTTATTATTTTCATTATATATGTATAATGAATTCAATTATTTTCTCTATCTTGTCATAAATTATTATTTAAGTTAAATAAGAAATTAAGGGTATCACAATCAAAACTCACTTCTTTTGCACTATTAAAATTTTATGTACAGATAACACAACAGAATATCAAGATTTTCTCTACTTTAATTTCTCAATAAAAAAGGTAACGTTCTTCAATGTTCGTATCCTCACACCTCTTAACAAAATGGCTGAGTTGAATGCAAGCATCATTATATCCTTGGTTTTGTTTGTGCTCTTCTCCTCTCTGCCTTATGTCCATAAAAATTTTAGGGAGAAGCTACTCCTAATGTTGTCTACAATATGAATCATTTTCCTTCTTTGGTTCTTCACAATTTGTGTCCTTTTGAAAATTTGTTTGGTAAGCCCCTTAAGTATTCACTCCTTAAACTATATGGATGTGCCTGTCTTGTTCTATTGCAACTTCACAAGCATAAAAAATTAGAACCACGTGCTTGTTTATGTTGCTTTCTTGGTTATGGCATTGAATAGAAAGGATATCATTGTTGGGATCCTATTTTAAACAAATTACGTATATCTCGCTATGTTGCCTTATAGGAAAATACCATGTTCTCTCCACTAGCCAAATTTCAGCACTCTTTCACCATTGATTCTTTACTCTTGATTGATTCCTCTATGAAGTTGTTTCCTAACTCTTATATAGGTACTTTTGATGTCGCCCACTTGATTCTACCTTTCCTGCTCCTATTAAATCGGTTCCCAACTATTAATCTTGCACCTGTGCTTACATCTATTCTTTATTGATTCACTCAAGTAAGAGACGCCTTATTATCTTAATAATTACCATTGCTATTTTGCTATTGCAACTTTACATGAGCCTTCTGACCCTTTTTGGCAGCAACTTATACTTGAGACTTAGTTGATCTTCCACCTTATAAGACTCCTTCTTATGGGGGACTCTTGTTCTTTAAAATTGCTTAGTAGCCAAGGGGTATACACAAGAATATAGGATAATGATGTCACATATTTTATATTCACATTCATAGTTTTATTTTGATTTCCAAATACTTTTCATATATTTTATTTTATATTCACATTCACAAGAGAAGAGTGTGTGGTCTGTGGTGCACCCACGCTCACTATTGGTGTCACTACCACCCTCTCTTCTCCAACCCATCTTCCACACTCCTAGTGTATCGTTGAATCATTCATAGTTTTCTAACATATTCAAACACATCCACATTTGCATTCAACATGTCATTCCACACACGTGCAACCATTTCATATTGTTCATCATCAACAAATGACATGCAATCACAAACAATTACCCACAACGGGTTCAACCACTTCCTCACACATCATATTCACATCAATCACGTTGTATTTAAACACACAATATTTTCCATCACAATCCATACCAATCAATTCATTCCATCATACACACCATTCAACATTCATCACATTATATTCTATACAATGTTTCCATCAAAATCTCATCACAATCAAATCATTTTCATTAAAACATACATCGTTCTACATTTCAATCATT